GACTGTTCATACTGACATTTAGAAAGGGTAACGCATATTATGGTATTTATCAAATATATCCAAAGGGTTAGAACTATGCTATTGTCATAAGAGAAAACGGTGGAAGAATCTGGATATACATAGGGACATGTGTGTGCATCTGATTAGTTATAAAAAATTAACGAAGGAGAGCTAATAGTTAACCGTGGTTTTTCTCTAGGGCATGAGATTAGGGTGATCAAGTGTCTTCTCTTTTTACTTTGTATACTTCTGAGCAGTTTCATTTCACTTTTTAGTGGGTATATATTGCTGTGGTATTATACTGGATAGATGCTGGTATTTATTTTGCACATGACTTCCATAACAAACAAAATGATTTAAAAAAAAAAAAAAAAACAACCATAGGGTTAACCAGACCTTCTCTCTTATATCCCTGCTCTTTATTTCCCTGAAAATACTAATGTTTTAACCCTCCTTCCTCACCATCAGTGGTCCCACTCCCATCCCTAGAAAAGCAGGCAAGGTAAAAGACATAATTGAGCAAATCCCTTGTATTGCTCAGACTCCAATGAGCTCAGTGATGTCCCTGAGTAGTATCCTGTTTCAGTGTGCCCAGCATCCAGCAGGAAGTGTCAGACTAACCATTCCTGAACACCTGCCCTCCAGGTGGGAAAAACAAACTCCACCTGAATGCCAGCGCCTGCCAGAGGACCTACTGGGACTTAGCCACCGGCAGCTGAAGGTGAGAACATCTCCCTCCCAGCCCTTGTCCTGCCACTGCTTGTGTGGCCATGGGTAAGGCCCTGCTCCCCTCGGGGGCTCCATTTTCCCTCCTGAACGGGTGCCACTTTCCAAGGCTGTTGACAAGATCGTGTAAGCCATAAGGTAATGCAAGTGGAAGCACATTTTCAATCGCAAAATATGCCACCGAGACAAAAAATAGCCTTTACAGGGAGGGAGGCCACTTTCCACTGGAGCGAAACCCATAAATAGACACAGAGAGAAAAAAAGGAGTAAGGAAGGGTCCTTGGAACGGGTGGCATTTTCCTCCACCCTGGAAACCCAAACCGCGAAGAGGAGGGTGTGTGTGTGCGGTGTGTGTGTGTGGTATGTTGGGAGGGTGCTTTGAAAGAGTGGGTGTGGAGCACACACAGCATCAAACTCCTGCCCGGAGCTATTGAGTGTGTTTTGAACTCTGTCAGGAGAATCCTGTGTCCTGGCTGCAGACTCCAGGCCCAGGAGGGAAGAGCCAGCCAGGAAGCCTGTTAACTGCCCTCCCACCCTTTCCAGGGCATCTTAGCCAGCACGCTGTGGCTAGAAGCAGGGGGCACTGGGTAGGGTGTGTCCAGGAGCCAGCACCAGAGCAGGCACCGTGCTCTGCACAAAAGAACCAGAGCCTGGGCTTCAGAGACCCTCTTCTACCCCTGCTCAACTCTGTGGCTCCAGGCACGTTGCCACCCCATCCTGGGGTTCATCTCCCCTTGGGTAAAATGAGGGGGTTAAACAACAGGATCCTCTGGCTCCATGACCATGGTCATTCTGTCTACCCATCGGGCAATGAAGCTTCCCAATCAGAGGGCCTATTGAGAGCTGGGAAAGGAGTCCCCAAAATTCCATTCCCTCTGCTCCAGTCAGGGACAGACACGGCAGTCACACACAACACACACACACACACACACACACACACACACACACACACACACCCGCACTTGGTTCCTGTGCACTGAACATTTGTGAACTCATTTTTCTTTCCTGTCCAGGAGAGGGAACTCGGGAAGGCAGACAACAGGGCAGTGTGGCATAATGAGACCGTGGAGGAAGGGAGCGGGCCTGGCACGGAGGGTTACTGCTGGGGGCCAGGAGAGAAGACACACACACACACAAGATCAGACAAACCGAACTTTATTCAGAAAAGCATATTAGTCATCACCACTGGGCTCTTCAGTGAGGCACATCGGTCTCCTCTCCCTACCAGCCCTCAGCCCCCCCATGTCCACCCTTGCTTTTGATCATTGTCGAACGCTGGAAAATCCTCTCCTGGGTCTATAAGTGGTCCTAGACTTCGGGCTGGGAGCAGCCCACCGTAGTCTTGGACTGGATTGAGTCCTGGAGTCCAGAGAGAGAGAGAAGCCAGAGACTGCCTCCAGTATCCAAACATTCTGGGCCAGGTCAGGTGGCCGTTCCTATGGCACAGGACCTCAAGGGGGAGGAGAGGATGTGGGGCCATATTACACACCCTCCTCACATCTGGAGAAGCAGCGGGAGGCCAAGCACAAGGCACATCTTGAAGAGCCAGTGAGCATTGAAATGTTTCAGGCACATCTGGGTGGATAAGGCACCATGAAGGCCAAGGAGAAATCTGCTGGACCACAGAGCACCATGGGCTGGGGGAGTGGCGGGAGACTAAGAAAGCATCCTCAGGGGTCTGGATCTGAGCTGAGGATGCAGCTTAGGCGGTTGTCTAAGAAAAGAGAAAAGGAACAAAAGCTGCAGCCAAAACCCGTTCTTAGGGTCCAGAGGCACACGGCTCAGTTCCAGATGTTTGGAATGTTGTGCCCACGTCACAGCACTCAGGATTTCTCTTATGTTGAGGCGAAATGAATCTTCCCCCATCTTGGTTTTTCCACTGGATGGTGTTGACAGAAAGCTGCCGGGCAGAGGTCCTTCCAGCCCCCGATGGGAAACCCTGTGCTGACTCTCCAGGGCCCCTGCCACACGGAAACCTGCAACAGAAGAACCAGAGTCACTGGGTCTCTGAGGCACGCCCAGGTGTCCCAGCCAAGCCCACCTCCAGGCTCTGGCTGGCACCAGCGGTGGGAGCTGAGGGACCAGTTACCCTGCCTGGAGCATGGCAGCAGCATGCCGGCCTAACTGAGACACCGAAGGGCTCAGTGGTCTGGGATTTCCCAGCAGACAGAAAACAAAGATAACCAATCTGAATAGGAACAGAGCTGAGTTTTACAAGATGAAGTTCCGGATATGGATGGTTGTAAAGGTTGACAACAATGTGGATGTACTTAGTATCACAGAACTGCCCACTCAAAAAATGGTTAATTTTGTTATGTATATTATATCACAATTTCAGTGATTCTTAAAATAACTGTGTGAAGAGTATCCAACATGTATTGGCTCCTTACTATATATATAAGCCTGGTCGTGAAGAGGCCAAACTGCCAGAGTTCAAATCCTAGCTCCACCTAGGAGACTGGGCAAGTTACTCAACCTCTCTGTGATTCATTATCCTTATATGATATCTATCTATATATATAAAAGCCTAATATGCAAAGTGTCCCCTCAGGAGTTCAACCACTCACTATGACGTGTGCTGTCCATCAGGGGACAGCATGGAATGAAGGAAGCCCCAGCTACCGGCGGAAGGGAGACCCTGGCTGCCAGCCAGCAGCAGCTAGGGACCCTACCCATGCACAAATTTTGTGCCCTGGGCCTCTAGTGAGGAAATGAAAACAGAACCCTCTTCAATAGGGTTGTTGAGAAGATGAAATGAATACATTAGTGCTTTGAGCAGTGCCAGGCTCACAGAGGGCTAGATAAATGCTATGGTGACCAAGAAAAGCTTACATAAGTGCCCTACCACCCAGATCTTCACAACTACAACGGAGAAATCTAATACCTCTCCACCTAAGCCTTACAAACATGCCCACAAAGACACACTCTGGCCTCCCTATTCTAGTTTCTAATCCAGAGAGTGGCAATCTGCCCCCCTCCCATTCCCCCCACCCCCCACAAAGATCAGACCTTTGAAGGATTTGGCAAAAAGTTTGAATTACCACAATTCTTTGGACATGTGGTTGTTATTAATGCCACCCCTCCAACGTGCTCTCCGAATAAAAACCCTCTAACTTTTAGAAAAAGGGGAGTTCTGTATTTTTATTCAAAAGGCCTAGGACCCCTCCAGAAAACAAAGAAGCGTCCTACCTTCCTGAGGCCGGGCCGGCAGCCCACCCGGTGAGAGCTTTCTCCTCTCAGTCCGTGAGTGTGACCGCTGTCGCAGTCGAAGCCGGGATCTCTCGCAGGGGTCATTCCTTTGACTGGGAAACTATCTGGATAACCTTGGCTTCATTTCCCAAACAATGTAAAGGAATGTCCAAGTCCACCCGTTCCCAGGCCTCTCCCTGGCTTGTCCGGGAGCAGCTATTTTCCCTCATGGGCTGGGCCCTCCCTCTGATAGAGAAAGTCCCTGGGAAAGAGGGAGCACCCCAAATCTTCAAAAAGAAACGAAAGCCAAGACTGTAGGGGAACCTTAGGTGGCAAAATCTGACCCAGGCCCAGGGTCAGTAAACACTTGTTATGGTCTGGTTTTACAGCAGGACTTCTCAGAGCCTTGATATGCTAGCGATTCTCTCCGGGGGAGGGGGGGGGCGGGGGCGGCAGCACCTTTGACAAACCCACTCAGCCTTTTCGAGGGGGGCTCCTGAGCCAGGATCCCAGGGAACACCACTGTTTCAATGCAAACAGCCCTGGAAGGGGAGGTGGGAGACAAGGTTCGAATGTTATTCTGGCTTTTTTCTTACAAGCAAGCTCTAGGGCTTCCTCCATCTGTAAAACGGAACGGAGCTCACCCTAACCTCCTCCTGGCGGGCGGGTGTGTGGAATCCAGAATGCAAAAGGCTATTGGGAGGTGGGAGTGGGGCAGAGGCCTGGGAGGGTAAGGCTGGGAAAGCTGGTGTGCGTTTGGGTCTGGCCTCCGGGAACCGGGAGGACAAAGGCTAGCAGACAGCCCACAGGCCCTGACCATCATCCATCCATCCTCACCTCTGGGGACAGGCCCCACCCCAACACATCCAAGCTCCGAGGGCAGGACCAGGCAGGATGTCCGAAAAACCCCCGAACCAAAACCAGACTCGTCACTCATCCCGGGGGCCTGACTCCAGTCTGCCCGAGGCTGCGTGCCCGCCTCTCCCAGCACTCCGGGCTGGAAGCGGGCCCGGGGGAAGGGGGTGCTCTCCCCGCCGCGGGGCGCAGCCAGAAGCCTGGCCACCCTTGGGGAGCCTCCGCCGGATCTACGCGGCGCCTGTCCATCCACGTCTCGCTGTCGGCGGCGGGGAAGGGGAAGAGGAACCGCTGGCTCTGGCCTCGGGAGGGGAAGGAGAGTGGCTGGCGTCCGCCCTACGAATGTGGCCCTGCCCGGGTCCCCGGGGGACTGACTGCGCGTCCGAGCAGCGGTGCGGGCTCCCGGCGGCGGCGCTGCCGTCGGGCGGGAACTGCGGGTCGGGGTGTCCGGGTGCCTGGGAGCTGCCGTCGGGCGGGAACTGCGGGTCGGGGTGTCGGGGCGCCTGGGTGCGGGCGGCGGCGGCGGGAACGCGGCGCGGGGGAGGGTGCCAGGCGCGCGGGGAAGGTGCCAGGGCGCACGGCGGCGGGAAGGGCTGGGGCGCTGGCATCCTCAGGGCCCCCGCCCCGCCGCGGGGCGCCTCACGCCACCTCCTGCTCGCCCTGGTAGCGGCGGCAGCAGCCGTAGAGCGCCGAGAGCAGGTAGAGGCCCAGGCAGAGGCCCCCGCAGACGGCGGCGGCCAGGAAGGCGCGGTAGGCGCAGGGCATCTGGTAGTTCTTGAGGTTGCAGTAGCTGTGCCGCTGCGTCTGGTCGATCATGATGGCCGTGGCGGCGCCGTAGAGCGCGGCCGCCAGCAGGTCGTGCGCCACGTTGACCACGAGCCAGCGCGAGCCCAGCACGGGCACCAGCGGGTGCTTGCCCAGCAGCGTGAGGAAGTAGAGGCCCAGGGTGAGCAGCCAGAAGAGCACGGACACGAAGAGCGCGAAGTGCACGGGGCCCTGGTACCGGCTGGTGGCGATGGTGACCCAGAAGGCGGCGCCGGCCAGCAGCTGCAGCGCCCGCAGCACGCCCAGCGGCCCGCGCAGGAAGGCCCGCTGCAGCCGCACCCCGCTGCGGGCCGTGCGCGCCGGCGGCGGCGGCTGGCGCGGCGGCGGCGGCGGGAGCATGGCCCCCGAGCGCGGCGGCGGCGGCGGCGGCGCCCCGAGCAGCGGAATGGCGGCGCCTGGTTCGCGCGGGGGGCCCGGCCGGCCGACGTGCCCGCTGCGCCCGCCGCGGCCTCCTCCTCTCCTCCTCCTCCTCGCTCGCTCCTAGTCCCGGCTCTGCCTCCGGCTCCCACCCTTCCTCCCCTCTCTCCTCCTCTCAGCCCTCCTCTCCTTCTTTCTCTCCCTCTCTCCTCCCCTCCCGCCCCCCTTCCCCTTCTCCTTCCCGGTCTCCACCCCCAGCCGCTCCTCCCGGCTTCCTGCCATCGCTTTGGGCCGCGCTCACCACCCTGGGGCCACCCTTTCCCGCAGGCGCCGCCGGGCTCGCAGCTCGGAATCCTTGGTCCTTCGGGCTGGGCAGCCCACCGAGGGCCCTCCGCCACATCCAGCCTGGGCCGCCCGGCCTCCCGGCCCCGTCCAGCCGTGGAGGGGAAAGCTGTGTTCTTTCTTTCCTCCTCCTGTGTCAGCGCCCACCGAGGCCTCCCGGCCCTTCCCTGGCGCTGGAGGAGAGCTGTGCTGGTCCTGAACGGACATCTCTTCTCCCCTGGTCATCCGTGGTATCCTACCAGTGTGCCTACCTCAAACCTATCCTGCCCGAAGCTGGGCTCAGACTTTGTCTCGGCCCTCTGAGCTCTCCATGTCAGAGAGAGAGACCATCATCACCCACTGGAGGCCACCCGGACCCTCCCACACCCCACAAAGCGAAGTCCAGTGGTTATAGACAGTTAGACAGGAGCAGAGCAAGGAAGATGGGCCAGGGTCAGAAGATCACCAAGGCAGAAAGCACAGGGGTGCCTAGCAAGGGGCAGAACTGGGAAAACAAGAACCTGTGCCCCTGTGTAACCTTTCCTGCCCTAACTTAGCGCTGCTCATGCAGTTTAGACCCCCTGGCCTTTTTCTCCCTGAAGATAACATCTAGGCCTCGGTTGTATTTCAGCTCCAGGCCCAGAAAAGCAGCAAAACTAGACAAGTGAAGGTTGTTAGCCTTAGGACCAGCTGCACTGACTAATGCCCCCTACCCTGGCCTCAGCCAATCAGTGGAGGCCATGGAGCCTGAAAGAGCACACCTGGGAAGCTGATGAGTATTCTATTGAGACCCTTCCCTAAGATCTCACCTAAGTTTCCACCTGCAAGAGAGAGCACTATTCTCAACGTAAAGGACCCAGCTCAAACCCTCCCCCAGGGGAGTATGCCCCTGCCATTCCTTCTCTCCTCTCTTTCCCCCACAGGCACTGTCTCCTAAACTCTGAGTCTTGCAACCAGGGGAGATGTGGGCAGTAGCAGCTCATCCCAGGCCAATCCCTGGAACTTATTTCTAAGGCCCCTTTTCTCTGACTTCCCAGTGAGCCAAAGCAGCCCAGCTGAGGCTCGCATGTTGCTTTTTTTTTTTTTTTTCTTAAAAAAAAAAAAAAAACCACACAATTTTTATTATTATTATTGATTTCAGAGAGGAAGGGAGAGGGAGAGAGATATAGAAACATCAATGATTGGAGAGAACATATAGAAACATCAATTACTGGCTGTCTCCTGTACAACTCCTACTGGAAATCAAGCCCACAACCTGGGCATGTGCCCTGACCAGGAGCTGAACCATGACCTCCTGGTTCAGAAGTCTATGCTCAACCACTGAGCCTCGCCGGCTGGACCTTAAGTGTGTTTTTGCTGAACTACGGGGCAAACATGAGCAGAGACTGATGCTTCACATGATTGCTATCAGTATGCTTTACATATATTCTCATTTGAGCCTCAAAACACGCTCCGCACCTCATAGGTACTTAGTATCCACTGGCTGAGAGGATCTCACAGACGAGGAACCTGGGGCGTGAATGGGTTTCCTCGTTTACTGAGGGGAACACGAAGCCTAGAGGAGTTAGGAACACAAAGCTGCTCTTTGCAGCTGGTCCCTCGTCTCTCTCCTCTTATCCACCCTGGGCACGCCCGGTCTAAAATACAGACCTGCTTGTTTATTGCACTGCTTCCCCCACAGACCACAGGACAGGGCCTTCTCTCTTCTGTGGGCGTATTTCATAATTTCGCCCCAACTGACTTCCGATTTCCTGATTTCCCACTTCCTTTCTTTACTCATGATCCCACCCTGCATGTCAACCCCATCCAACATCCTTCGTTTCCCAAATAAGCTCAGAACGCCCTTCATTCTCAGACCCTACTCCCCAGGCTCACTCCTACATATCCTTCAGCGCCCAGTGTAAGTGCCCTCCCTTTGGTCCAGCCCCCCAAACTGTCGATTGCTGGTTCTTCGGAGCCCCCACGTGGAGCATCCCTCCACACCAGTTCTGAGTGGGCTGCATTGTAAGCACTGGCTCTCACGCCTTTCCATCTTTGCCTGTGCCTGGCATATAAGAGACTCAGTAGATGTCAGTGAAGTGGATGGCTGAGTGGCTGCAGAAACAGCAATGGGCCTGAGAGGCCCTCTTACCCTGGGGACCGCGCATGCATCAGAATCACGGCTGATCCTACTCTACAGAACTAGTCTCTCATCTCCTGGAATGCATCCAGGACATCTGGCCCGGCTGAGCGGGTCCCTCTTTCAGCAGCCTGGCTCCCCTTAGGGGAGAAAAAGTATGTGGCTTCTCAGGGACTTTATGCCTCTCCCTGCCAACAGCCCTACCTATAGGAACTGAGCAAGCTATGATGCATTTTTAAATATATATTTTTTTTATTGATTTTTTTTTTACAGAGGGAGAGGGATAGAGTTAGAAACATCGATGCTCCATCCACTGAGCCAACCCAGTCACAGCATCTGAATGCGTATTTTAATTATTTATTTTTAAATTTTATTTACTGATTTAAGACAGAGACAGAGACAGAGACATAGGTTTGTTGTACCACTTATTTATGCAGTCAATGGTTGTTTCTTGAATGTGCCCTGACCCAGGGATCAAATCCACAAGCTGTTGTATCCAGGACGACACTCTAAGCAACTGAGCCCCACAGGCCAGGGCTGAGTGCACAGGTAAGTAAATAGGTGGTGATGCGTAACACATGTCTACGTGAGGCATGGAGGTGTAGAGGCCCCGGAGGCAGACTGCTTCATCACTCCCTAGCTCTGGGACCTCTCTGTGCCTCAGTTTCCTCATCTGTGAAATCCTCTCCGCAAGTGGATATTAAGTACTTAGTAAGTGCTGGGCTAAGGGTAAGTAATCACTATAAATAAAATGCCTACTGCACACTCGGCACTATGATGAACCCTATATATTAACTGTTCTACCTAGTTCTTACAACAGCCCTATACCATTACTACTGTTACATCTGCTGATGGGGAAACCAGGGCTGGGAGGCTAAGGAAGCAGACTAAGTTCACAGAGCTGATGGGTGACTCTTTAAACAGGAGCCTGGGTTCTTTTATATACTCTCCTATATTTTGTTCTCAGTTGCTTTTACAGGGACCCAGAAGTGTTACATGATTTGCCCAAAGAAACACAACCTGTGAGTGTGGGGGCTCAAACCTAGGTTGTCTGACCCCAATTTCAAGGCTTTCCCCTCAGCATCCCTTAGCAAACCCCTTGCAGGGACACCCTCCGTGCCCTCAGAGCTCCAAGCTTGAGAAGGGCTGGGGCTAGAACAGACAACTGGGGGGGCCAAATCTGGGTGCTGGACTGATGACAAACTCTCTCTGAGTGGGGAAGCTAACTGAGTAAACATGTAAAGAGAAGAATCATTTCTTTAAAAAGAAGAGAAAAAAAAAAAAAAAAAGATCTGAAGAGTTGAGGGTTGGGCGCCACCTGGTGGGCCTGGACCTTCAGCCTCATCCCCAAGTCACTCCTTACAAGGAAGTCAATGCCGCGGTTTTGGGGAGATATTTTTAGCCTCTGGAATCTTGAAGACGTTCCAAGGGGTGGTTCAGCAGGCTCTCTGCAGAAACTTCGCCATGCACAAAGATCCCGATTCCTCCAGCTCAACAAAGAGGGCCTAAGCGAGATGCAAACCGTCTGGTTGAAGAATGCAGGAAGAGGACCAGAGTTTGCACCTTACTGGAAGGGGAGAGACCTCGTGGGCACAAAGTGGAGGGATACGGGAGAACCACACGGACAGTGCAAAGGGGAAGGAGAATGTATGTGTGATGGAAGGGCTGGGGAAAGCTGCAAGAACGAAGTGTCATTTGAACTTGGACAGAATGTTGACAAGCAGAGATGCGGGATGGGTGTGACTGGGTGAGGCAGCCCACCATGGGTTCTGAGCATCCCTGGATATCACCACCCGGTATGCCAAGAATGCGAGGCCTCTCTCTCCAGCCAGTTCTCAGTGTTGTTTGTGGCCAATGACTTTGGGAAATGAGGGAACAATTTCTCCAAAACGAAGAGCAGGCTTGCTTGCTGCTTACTAGAAAAGTGGTTTGGGTAGAAGGGGACAGTGGTGGGAGTACCGAGCGTGGTATGCCTCAGCTATGATGCAATGCCCCCTGGAAGTGTAACATTCACTTGCACCGCTCTGTGTTTCTCCCATGAAATTTGGGAACGATGGAAAGAGAGGGAACAATGATGCTCATGCTGCTTGCTATGCCAAGGTGGCGGGTCCTTTGTCTTTGGCCAGCAATCTTGTATCTTCTGTCAGCATTTATAAAACAATAGCAGATCAGCTGGTAAGCAGTGTAAATTCCAGACCCTCACAGGTGTTCTAAGGCAATGGTCAGCAAACTCATTAGTCAGCAGAGCCAAATATCAACAGTACAACGATTGCAATTTCTTTTGAGAGCCAAACTTTTAAACTTAAACTTCTTCCAATCCCATTTCTTCAAAACAGACTCGCTCGGGCCATGGTATTTTGTGGAAGAGCTATACTCAAGGGGCCAAAGAGCCGCATGTGGCTCGCAAGCCGCAGTTTGTCGACCACAGTTTTAAAGAAAGGGAACAGTGTGAGCAAAAGCAAGGCCTAGGTTGCTGAAGGAGCAAGGAGCAGTGATACTTGATGGCTACTGTAAGCTCCGATGTCCAGAGGGGAACAATTAG